TGGTATCTTTGCCAAGAAAACCCCAAAGTGGGGTCAGGAGCTGGACAAGAGGGGGCAGCCAGGTGCGCAGTGGATAGAGCACCGGCCCTGAAGTCAGGAGGACCCGAGTTCAAATGCGGCCTCAGACACGTGACACTTACTAGCTATGTGACTCGAGGCAAGTCACTTAACCCCGATTGCCTTAAAAAAAAAGAGTTGGACAAGACTGAAATAACTAAACAATAGCCAGAGTCCATCCTCCCCATTAAAAATACTTAAATTCCTAGTTTTTACGCTTTAGTTATATATACTTTTTCGGGGGGTGGGGTTGGGGCTGGGCCTGGTCTTATGATTTCATCAGTGTGGAAACTGATGCAGAATCAGAACTTGTCTGTAATTTACTGTTTTGGAGTTGCTGATTATATGGTGAAATGACTTCCCCAGGGTCACCCAGCTAGCATATGTCAGAGACAGAACTTGAGTCTAGGTTTCCTGGCCCCAAGATCGATCTTCTCTCTACTCTGCCACTTGTCTTGTCTCTCTGTGTACCTGCCTCTCTCCATGTATATACAATATTTGTGTGTGGGGTATGTATACACATATAAATACAGGTACCATGTATTTGTTCAGTGATTTTCAGCCGTGTCCAATTCCTCATGATCCCAGCTTGGGCCTTTCTTGGCAAAAATACTGGAGTGTTTTGCCATTTCTTTATCCAGCTCATTTGACAGATGAGGAAACTGAGGCAAATAGGGTTAAGTGACTTGCCCAGGGTCACACAGCTAGTAAGTATCTGAGGCCAGAGTTGTACTCAGGAAGATGAGTCTTCCTGACTGGGCCCAGCACTCTCTGCACTACGGCGCCACCTAGTGCTCCCTTTGTGTATGCATTTATTATATACACATACATACATACATACATATATATACGTACATATATTTAATATGTTTAATTTTTTTAATTGGGACACACTTACAGTTTTAGAGAACACCCAGTGAGGAAATTCATATCAATGCAAATCAACACCTGCTTTCCAGCTTAGACCTTAGAGGGATATACCCTGGGGCTCTAGTGGTTAAATGACTTGACCAAGGTCACACGGTTAGAATGTGTCAGAAGCAACAGCTCAACTGACTAGGCCTCACTCCTAGGCCAAGGCCTACTCTCTATCCACCATACCCTGCTGTTGCCTCTAAAGGATATACATATTTAATGTAAATGTAGTACTAAATCTATACTATATATACACACCAAATTTTTATATATTCAGTGTACATAATATATAATGCAACACATTTATATATATTGTATGTACACAAACGTATGTGCACATACAGGTATGTATATGTTTGTGTGTACATACATGTTTTTATTTTTTAAAATCTGCCTGAGCCAAACACAGATCCAAAAAATCAGTCTATGCATCAAAGCAAATTGGTACATTCTAAACCTAAAGGGAAAACGCTTGAGGATGAGGTGATGGTTTGGAATTCTCAAGCTGCTGCTTCCTGCCGTGGTGGGGATTGTTTGAGAGCAGGCTCTTGTTGGCCGGTGAGACTCGATCCCTTCCTCCACCAGTAGCGGATGTGGGCGGTTTTTAATGAATGTGTCCTGTCTCCTCTTTTCCGAAGGGGTGTCCAACTTGCTGACCGGCCCAAAACGGAACCTGATGGCAATGGCTAAAACCTGGTGGAATCAGTTCAGCGTGTCTGCCTTGCAGCTGCTGCAGGCGAATCGGGGCATTTGTGGCTTCCACCTCAACTACCTGGAGAATGAGGTAGAACTGGTCAACAGGGTGGTGCTGCAGCTGATGGACCTCTACAGCAAGGGCCACATCAAGCCCCACATTGACTCAGTGTGGCCCTTTGAAAAGGTGAGTTGGGAACTAGCCCACGCAGGCCTAAAGGGGCCTCCTGGGACAGCTAGGTGGCACAGTGGATAGAGCCCCGGCCCTGGAGTCAGAAGGACCTGAGTTCAAATCCAGCCTCAGACAGTTGACACTTACTAGCCATGTGACCCTGGGCAAGTCACTTAATCCCATTGCCTAGCAAAAACCAAATAAAGGGGCCTCCTTTGTGAAGCTGGAGGGAAGACAGCTGACATTGAAGTACAAGGCGCCATAGGAATTATTACTCCCATTTTACGTAAGAGGACAGTGATGCTCAGAGAGACTTGCCACACATAACTGGTGTCAGAGGTCATATTGCAACCCAGGACTTGCCTGACACCAGGGCACCCAGGTGGTGCAGTGGATAGAGCACTGGGCCTGGAGTCAGGAAGACTCGAGTTCAAATCCAGCCTCAGACACTTACTAGCTCTGTGATCCCGGGTAAGTCACTTAACCTTCATGGCATCAGTTTGCCTCAGTTTTCTCAACCATCTGTAAAATGGGGATAATAATAGCGTCTACCTCTCAGGATTGTTGTAAGGATCCAATAAGATGGTATTTGCAAAAGTGCTTAGCACAGTGCCTGGCACACAGTAGGTGCTATATAAATGCTTGTTTCCATCCTTGTTCCTCCAAGTCCAGTCCTCTTTCCACTGCTTTCTCTACATCTATTGTAGGGGAAGGCCCACTCCCCATAAACGTGATGATAGCTGAGAAGGGACAGAAAGAGCACTGCATCTGGAGTGAAGAGATGTAGGTTCTAAACCTGGCTCTGATGCTTTCTCCCTGTGACCTTGGGCAAGTCACTTCCAAACCTCTCTGGGGCTCAGTTTTTCTCATCTGTAAGAGGAAATTGAGCTAGATGGTCTCTTTCAACTCCAAATCCTGTGAATCTTAGGAATACCCTATCTGGGGGTAGATGGATGGGAACATGAAGGACCAAGAGCAGATGGTTTTGCTTCATCCACAGTTAAGTTTCACTGATTTTTTTCCCCCTCTTTCCCCCTGCAGGTGGCTGATGCCATGAAGCAAATCCAAGAAAAGAAGAATGTGGGCAAAGTCATCCTGGTGCCCAATTCAGAGAAGAAGAACTAAAAGGAGAGGGTCATGGCAGGGGAGAAAGGTTGGGGGGGCAGAGAGGACAAGAGTGAGACTTGGGGGACCTAGAGTCATATTCTTTTGGGTTACTACTGATGCCTCTGCCTTCTTCTTTCTTCAGCTCTCCCAAATACACTGCCCTTCCAAGGGTCAGCGATGGTCTCCGTGGCGTGATGACCTCTCACCAATCGTATTTCTTTCCTCTTGGTCAGGGCCACCTCCCCTCCCTTCCTCTTCCCCCAGAAGGTTAGGAAGTGACCACTTGGATGTATGGGCCCTGCTGAGTGGGCGGGGACCCACCCAGGGGCCCAGCTGCTTCTTCCCACCCCACCTCTTCTTCCCCTGGGCTTTTTTGCCCTGCTTGTGCCAAGTTTAACCTCTTCCCTCCTCCCACCCTCCCTCCCCTGTTGTATATGAGTTGGTCTCTGGTTAATCTTCCCCAGTCATACTCCCTTACTTCCCCCAAAGAAACTGAAATGCCAGCTCAGGGTGGGGTGACTCCTTGTGAGTCTAGTACATGTCCTATCTTGGCTGCACTCCAGATTCCCGCCAAGTCCGAACAGCCGCAGAGCTGACCAGTCTCTAAAGTGATATACAGGGTGTCCCAGAGGTCTTAGGGCTATTTTAAGCTTGCTGAATATGGCCCTAAGACTTCTGGGACACCCTGCGTAAATGTTAGCAATTACTAGTCAGTAGCCCAGTCACCATGCCCCTCCTTCTTATTCCTGACTTTATAAGCACAACTGGGCCTTTCCTGACACAGGGCTCTTCCACAGTTTTAAGCTAGTTTGTGTCTTACACCCTAGGGAAGGGAACATACTGTCCTTCCCACCCCCTTAGGCTCTGAGGGGGCATGGCAGGAATCCCTTTGGCTTCCCTCTTCCACTGAGTTCCTTAGATCTGTTCTCAGTGCCTTAGCATCTGAAAAGTTTCTTGTGCTCATGGGGAGTATAAATGTATTTTCCCCCCTACGTTCTCACTCCCAGCACTCCCCAGTGCCTTGTTCTGATGGAGCTGGGGTTTCCAGTCCCACTGCGCTGCCAAAAATCTATGTGTGTCTGAGGGGGTGGGGATCCAGACGCCTGTAGTCTCTGGGGATTGGTAAGAAAAAAAAAACCTCCCCATCCTTTTGCCAGTCTTATCTGTCTGTTTCGGTTGGGGAGAATCTTTTTTTCAGCCTTGCAGATAACTGTGGAATTTACCAGCCTGGGCTCTTAGAGACAATTGTGTCCATTTCTAAATTCTGGGACCAAAGTAAAATTTGAAGTGCATTCCAGCTTGAGTCCTGTAAGGCCCCAACCGACTTTTGCTGTCCTCAAAGTGGGAGGCAATTTTCTTAAACATAGCCCTGGATTTCTTGTTTACATTGGGGAGTGTTTGGGGAGGGGGGGAGGGAAGAGAAGAGCAGGCAGATTTGGGAATCTGCCCGTGGGTCCCTGAGCTGGAGGCCAGATGTCAGGATTCCGAGGGGGAGCACTGTCAGCCCCTCTTCCTCCGTCTCTCAGTTGAGAATGGGGGATGAAGGGCAGGTAGGTCACTACCCTGGCCACTGTCAAATGAGCGGTGTGGGGAAGGGGGTGGACGTATATCCCTCTCTCATTTTCTAAGCAAGGCCTAAAGTGAAACGTGATTTTCTGCTTGTGTGTTTGTCTTCCTCGTCCACCCACTGCCGAAGCTGCCTTTGTGTTTGTGTCAATAAAGCGCTGTCCCTGTAGCTCCTCTCCCGCCGAGTTTTGTGCCAGTGTGTACATGTGTGTGTTTTGGGTGGGGGAATGAGGATAAGTGACAAAGCTGCAGAAAGGCCCAAAGGTTCTTGGCCTTCAGCCCTAGAGGCTGCTGCATTTCTTCTCCTACTTAATCAGTCAAAAGCATTTATTAATTACTAAGCACAGTTTAAAAAAAGCCCCACTTACTAAGCACCTACTATGTGCCAGGCACAGTGCAAAACACTGGGGATATAAAAAGGGGCAAAAAACCCTCTTCACCCCTAACCCACAATCACGTTTGAGTGAAATACTATGAAAACACAGTGTTGTCAGGTCAAACCTTCTGTGGCACAAAGGGGTTTTAATGCGTTAGAGGAGAAAGGCTGGAGAGAAAGGAATGAGGACTTCTCCCCTCCACTTTAAACACAGATACAAAATCTGGGACGATAAGGTACAGTGAGAATCCTTGAGGGGAGCTTGTGCGGCTCACTAACCCGACTCAGGGGTGAAAAGGGCCAGGGCTTGTGTCCCAGGGTCTACAAATATCAACGATTCCACCTCACCCCCACCTCGAGTTGGCTTTTGGAAATGGATTTCGAGGACGTCCTGAAGTTCTGGCCCATCAAGGACGTCTGGGATATTAACCACCAGCACTGAGTGGGGGACCGAGCAGCGACCTATCTGGAAGACATATATACGTGGAGGATCAGGAGTGGATGGGGAGATGGGGGCCCCCAGGACTAGAACAGGGTGGTAGGCCCTTCAATGAGATCCCCAGGCCACCCTCTACAAGTGTCACATTTTCCTGTTCATCCTCTTCCCCCCATCTTACCTCCATCTCTTGGATGTTCCCATCGACATAAGGAAAGATCCTCAAAGGAACCTCGGCACCACCCAAGGGCACCATGAAGTGTTGGATGCTGACCAGGCGCTCGGCCACTGGGTTGGGAACAAATGAAGGGGAGGCTCCTTACCGCTGAGATCCCTGAGTCCCTATCTCCCTCAGTTACACAGCGAAGCCCCTGCCGTTTCCCGACCTCTCCTGTTACCTTTGTCATCAGTAAAGCCCAGAACAGCCGCCCCTGGGAGCAGCTCCCGCATCTTCACCTCGCCACCTCCATTCGAGGGTTTGCCAAAGAAAAGCTCCAACTTGTCTAACAGCTGCTCTTCACCCAGCTTTAGGGCAGGGGGCAGCCCGATAATCAGCACCTTTTGGCTGCATAACCAAGTCAACACCTGGGAATGGAATGGCAGAGAATAGGATTGCCCAATCCTGTTGGTGTCGTAGAACCTCACCCCCCTGAACTCTTAGAACCTTGATACTGGTGGGAACAGGCAATTCCACAGGCTGGATGCGGACGCGAAGCCGAAGCTGGCATTCTTCCAGGATGACGTTATGCTCTTGGTGCTGCAGGAGACCTTTTGCCACTGGAGGGCAGACAAGGATGGACAGGGTCAGCACTTCACTTTGAGAAGCCACCCCCTATTCCTCACCCAACCCAATCCCTCTCCCATCCATGTTCTACTACCTTCAGCGTCCTCAAAGCTGACCAAAGCTGAACTCTCTGGCAGGGGATAATGGATACGAAGATTGGAAACGAAGGTCTCAGGCACTTTCTTTTCCTTCTTTGTCTGTCCTCGGAACACGACCACTGCCTGAGGCACTGGGAAGGGGACCTGAAGATGGGGAGGAGAGATGGATAAAAGGGAGTCAGGTCATTTCTACTCTTCTACTTCGCTCCAGAGGTGGATGCACCCCATTCACTTGAGGTCCCTTTTGGTGATCCCTCTGATATCTCGAATGGTTCTGTGATCTCACCAATTCAAGAGTTCCTTCCAACCATGTAAATCACAACCCTGCCCATCCAGGGCAACTCTTGTCTATGTTTCCCCAAAAGTTCATCACTGTGGGTCCTCCCAGTATGCTGGAGGCCTTCGCTGCTTTCTCCTGACATAAGGGGGTTCCAGTGGAGCACTATGGCAGTCCACCTATCAGTCTCCCCTTGTTGGCCACACGACTATCTCATCTTCTCTTCCTATCATACAGTGGTTGATGACTTCCTTTACTCCGTTCTTTGGAGTTCTTCAGAAGCAGTGGTGCACCATGTCTTTTTGCCATAGGACAGCACCAGTAAAGTACTGGTATTGAAAAGAAGGGTGTAGACATGGAGCTCTGTAATGTCTTAAAAGCAGTCCAGCTCACCCTCCTCCTCCTCTTCAACTCTGTGTCCAACTCATTGTCCAACAGTCCTTTTTTGCCCCGCACTGACCTATGGTTGGACTAGCTCTCCAGTGAAGTATGTAGTTCTACAAGGGGTCTAGGAATAGCTTTCAAGGAATCCATGAACTTGGATGGGAAAATAAATGACATCTTTATTTCAATTGAATTGGTTTCCTTTGTAATCCTATGTATTTTATTTTGTACCTCTAAAAACACTATTCTGAGAAGGGGCCCCTAGGATTCACCAGACTGCCAAGGAGGAGGGAAGGGGTACGTGATACAAAAAAGGTTAATCATAGGGTGTCCACCCAATAAATCAATCAGTTAGCATTTATTAAGCTGTTAACTATGAGCCAGGCACCACACAACATGTGCATATTGAAATCGGGACAATACACCCAGATATTAAAGATTATTTTCTTATTTTTCAAATACTTTAAATAATGATAAATAAGTCAGTCACTTAACCCTGTTTGCCTCAGCTTCCTCACCTAAAATAATTTGGAGAAGGAAATGGCAAGACCACTCCAGTATCTTTGCCAAAAAAACCCAAACAGAAGAGTCAGACATGGCTGAAAACAACTAAACACTTACACAGTTTACAACTCCACCAATAATGCATGAGTGTGCCTGTCTTCTCTCCCATCTTTTGTCATCTTTGACAATGTGGCAATTTAGGGGTATGAGGTGAGACCTCAAGGTTGTTATGATTTGTATTTCTCTTATTATTAATGATTTGGAATATTCATTTGTAGGGCTGCTAATAGTTGCCAACCTTTTTTTCCCCCCCTCTGAGGGCTGTTTTTCATATTCTCTGATCATTTATTTACTGGGAAATGGCTTTCTCCTATTATTTCTACCTTGCAGCAGTCACCTCCCAAGTGGGGTACCCCAGGTGTGCAAGATGACCCATGGAGGTACACAAAGAAAATATTAAAGCTCCAAAGAAAGCCACACAGTTATTCAGCAAGCTTCAACTTGTCTCCACTGCTCTCCTTCCTTCTTCCTGTCCCAAGGGCAGCCACAACTGATCCTCCCCAGGCAGGCAGGAGGTCATTCCCTACCTAAACTCTGTGCATCCCCTCCTCGCTTCCCTGTGCCAGCACAGGGTTCTCCATGAGCTCAGTCAGCCAGGCTGGCCTGGGATGGGGGAAATCTCCCTTTTTTCCACTCGGGTTCTTCTCTCTTCCCTCCTACCTTCAAGACAACAAGGAGAGCCGGGCCAAGAGGGGAAGAGTAGGCATGGATGTGTCAAAAGTGGGAGCGAGTTACCAGCAAGAGGCGGCAGTGCTGGCTTGAGGTTTGAGGCTTAAGTAACCAAGCCCAGAACTCTCTAGTATCTGCTCTAGGACCTGATCTACACAAACCCACTGGTCAGGTTGGAAGCAAATGAAGAAGGTCACCCATCACCAGAGGACCAGGGCTTAGCTGGGCATCTTGCCATCTGCCACCACCTCCTTCTTCCCAACTGGAAAAGAGATCCTCTGGACCAGTACCTGACCTCCCATTCCTAATATCAGGGAAGGTAGAAATTTACTAGCCAAATTTTAAGAAAAATCATTTCATAAGTAGTTTGGGGGTTTGAAAATTTTTATATCAGGACTTGGCAAGTGCACCCAGGGATGTTCTTCTGTTGAGATCTTTGGGTCACAGTGAGGGATCTTTTTCAACTATGATAGACATTAAAACCAAGTATAAACTGAACTTACAATCAGAGCTTTTTGGAATTAGTAGATTGTTGTTCAGAACCGTTGCCACCTACTGTCTGTGTGACCCAGGGCAAGCCACTTCACTTTTATGGTCCTCAGTTTCCTCATCTGTAAAAGGAAAGGTCTAACATTTCTTCAAGATCTAAATCTATTCTCTTACGATTCTTCAAATCACTTTATCATCAAGTGTTAAGCCAAAATTTTCAAAAATAATGAGTCACTAAAATTGTTCTCACTAGAAAAAAAATAGATTTTTAAGGAAAAAGACAAAAAGACTTTCTGTATTATTAAATGATTTTTTGAAACATTTTTTAAATTTTGAAAAAATTAAAATGTCAATTTCATCTTTAGCTCAACCTTTTCAGAATCTATTTTGTGTATATTTTACACAATATTTTAGGTCATTAATTTACAAATATTTTACATCTTGGAGCTCCATGCTCAAAAATGTTTAACTGGTAAGAATCAATGACTAAGAAAATGAAAAAAAGATCAGGAATGTTTGGAGACCCCTGTTCTAAACTCTAGCCAACCTAGATGTTTCCAGTTTCTCAACACATGGTCTATTCTTACTCATCTCTGTCCTTCTGTCCATCTGTTTGTTATCTAGGCTTGGGATGTCTTTCCTGCCTACAGCATCCTCTGGAGAATTCCTGCCTCACCTTCATTTTTTAAAAAATTTTAGTAATCTCTCTTTTTTTTTCCCAAAAATCACAATAATTTTTCTGTGTAGCCTTCTCCCTCATAATATGGAATCCTCCTTTTTAACAAAGGAAAAAGAAGGGCAGTTAGGTGGCACAATGGATAGAGCACAGACCCTGGAGTCAGGAGGACCTGAGTTCAAATCCAGTCTCAGACCAGACACATGACACTTACTAGCTGTGTGACCCTGGGCAAGTCACTTAACCCAAATTGCCTTGCCAAAAAACAAAACAAAACAAAAAACAAAGGAAAAGTAGATCAAAACAGACCAGTATGGCAATTGTGTTTATGTCTGCCATACTCCTGCCTCTTCTGCAAAGTTCAATTCAAATGCCTCCTCCTCCAGGAAGCTGCTTTTGATTGTACTTTTCTCCTGCTTTTATCACATTCTATTTCATATTGTACTTATTTGTGTTTGGAGTTTTTAGGCCGTAATAACTCTCCATGATAATCTCCTGAAATATGAAAACGTTTCCATCTGTATCAATGAAGGGGACAGCTCCACTGATGAATTTACAAATTATTTTAAATGTTGAAGGAGTGACATCCCCCTACTCTATGGTAAAATTCATGAGAGTAAGGACCAGCCTCACCCAAATTTTGCATATCTCCTAGAACAGCCCTTGGCATGCAGAAGGTACTTAATAAATTTTTTGTTGAACTGAATTGAATCACTGCTTTTTACAGATAAGGAAACCGAGGCAGAAAGGTTTAAAAATGGCCTGACCATTTCTTTGCCGAGGAATAAATAGTTCTCAGAAGATGAATTTTAAACTATTAACAACCATATGAAAGAGTGTGGTTAAGTTACTAAGCCCAGACTCGTTCTTCAGAACTACCCAAACCCATTGGGCAGCTTGCAAGCAAATGAAGAAGGGCACCCACCACTAGGAGACCAGGGTTTACCTAGGCATCTTGCCACCTGCCACTACCCCCTTCTTCCCAACTGGAACTCTGGACCCAGGACCTGACCTCCAAAGACCATGACCCTCTCATTCCTGATATCAGGGAAGGTGAAAAGATACTAGCCAAACTTCAGAGATAGAATGGAAAGAATGCTAGACCCTTCTTTTACAAGTGAGGAAACCAAGGCCCACAAAGGTAAAGTGGCAAAGACAGGATTTGAGCCATAGTCCATCCATTCCCAAAACACATGAAATCCCTAGTTGTAAGAGAAATATAAATCAAAACAACCTTGAGGTCTCACCTCCCACCCAGCAAATTGGCAAAGATGACAAAAGATGGAGATAGTTGAAGCTGAAGGGGTTATGAGAAGACAGGCATGCCAATGGGTTGCTGATGGAGTTCTGAATTAGTATAACCATTCTGGAAATCAATTTGGAATTATGCAAAGAAAATGGCTAAAATGTCTATACCCTTTGATTCAAAGATGCTTATTCTAGGCAACCTCTCCCCTCCCCCCCAAGGAAGTCACTGATAAGAAGGAAGTCCTTATATACATCAAAATCTTTGTAGCAGCACCTTTTGTGGTAGCAAAGAACTATAAATAAAGTACATGCTCATTAAACAGGAGATGGCTAAACAAGTTATGATGCATGAGTGTAATGGATTATCGCCTTACTTTAAAAGGCAGATATGGTGAATACAGAGAAGCATTGAAAGACTTACATGAACTGATGCAGACTGAAGGAAGCAGAGCTAAGAAAACAATACATATAGCGACTACAACAATGTGAATGAAAAGAGCCACCACCACAAGAACAAATGAAAGTGAACAACCCAGAATTTCAACAAGCAAACATAGCCCCCAGAGAAGAGAAGTGAGAAGATATCCCCATTCCACTCCTTTGCAGAGGTCCAGGTATATGGAATATTGCCTATATTTTCAGATTTATTTTTTTTTTTGGGGGGGTTAGGTAATGGGGTTAAGTGACTTGCCTAGGGTCACACAGTTAAGTAATATGTGTCTGAGGTCAGATTTGAACTCAGGTCCTCCTGATTTCAGGGCCAGTGCTCTATCCAGTGCGCCACCTAGCTGCCCCCTTCAGATTTTTTTTGATGTCATTCATTGATGTTGATTTTTTTTTCTCCTTTTCTCTTTTTCTTTAAAAAATATTCTTTGTCTTCTGATGCCAACATGGCAGAGGGAGGAAGGACCCCCCTGAAGCCCTCCCAAATTCTTTTCCAGACAACTAGAAAACCACGTTAGAGTTGGTCTAGGAGCAGGAAAGCAGCTTGCCAACCAGGGCAGAAAAGGTCTGTCTCACCAGGGCAGGAGGGGAGTGAGGTCCAAGAGCTGCAGCAGCCAGCCTCACAGCAGGGGGCCTCCAGCAAGGCTCCAAGCCTTCCGTAATCCACCAGGGAGGTCCTACCCTCCAGCAAACTAGCAGCCCCCTAGGCAAGTGAGCAGTCTTGTGCACTACAGCAAGCTCCCACCTCCATGATCCCACCCCCCAGCACAAGCCACCAGGGAGGCCTTGACCCATTTGCTGACCAGTAGTGAAGCCCCACCTCTGGGACCTACCAGCAGAAAGACCCTATTTCCCTAGCAACCCAGAAGCAAGGCCCCACCCCTGGAGCAGGGAAGCAGCTAAACACCCACACCTAAGAGAAGCCACCAGGAGCTCCCACCCCCCCCCCCTCCCTGCAAGCCAGAAGGGAAGCCTACCCTCCAGAGAAAGCAAGCAGCAAAGTCAATAAAGAAAATAGCTATTGCAATGCTTGAAATTTAATTGAAAACTACACAAGCTAATCCAAAATAATGAGTGGGTTAAAAAACAAGTTATAGAAACAATAGATAATTTCATTAAAGAAAATGACAACAATAAGGCAACATATCAAAATTTATGGGATGAAGCCAAAGTGGTACTAAGGGGGATATTTATGTCTCTAATTGATTACATCTATAAAATAAAGAAAAAGCAGATCAATGAATGCGCATGCAACTAAAAAAAAAAACTAGAAAAAGGACAAATTAAAAATCCCCAATTAAACACCAAATTAAAAATCCTGAAAATCAAAGGATAGATGAATAAAACTGAAAGAAAATCATTGAACTAATAAATAAAACTAGAAGCTGGTTTTATGGGGGAAAAAAACAATCAAATAGATAAAGCATTGGTTAATTTGATTAAAAAAAAGGAAAGAAAAAAACCAAACTATTACTATCAAAAATGAAAGGGGTGAATTCAGCACCAAAGAAGAGGAAATTAAGACAATTGTTAGAAGCTCTTTTGCCCAATTACATGCCAATAAATATGACAATCTAAATTAAATCTATGACTATCTATAAAAATATAAATTACTCAGATTAAGAGAAGAAATAAAATATTTAAATAACCCAATGTTAGAAAAAGAAATTGAACAAGTTATCAATGAACTTCCTAAGTAAAAATCCCTAGGACCTGTTGGATTCACAAATGAATTCTACCAAACATTTAAGGAAAAACTAATCCCCATAAACTATTTGGAAAAATAGGTGAAGGTGCCCTACCAAATTCCTTTTATGACACAAATATGGTGCTGATACCTAAACCAGGAAGAGCCAAACCAGAGAATATTATAGACCAATTTCCCTAATGAATATTGATGCAACAATTTTAAATATAATACTAGCAAAGAGCTTATGGCAATACATCACAAGGATCATACATTATGACCAGGTGGGATTTATACCAGGAATACAGGGCTGGTTCAATATTAGGAAAACTATCAGCATAATTGACCATATCAATAATAAAACCAACAGAAATCACATGATGATGTCAATAGACGCAGAAAAAGCCTTGGATAAAATACAGCACTCATTCCTATTAAAAACATTAGAGAGCATAGGAATAAGTGGAGCTTACCTTAAAATGATAAGTAATATTTATCTAAAAGCATCAGCAAGCATTATCTGTAATGGGGATATTCTAAAAGCCTTCCCAATAAAACTAAGGGTGAAGCAAGGATGCCCAATATCACCTCTCTGCTATTTAGTATTGTACTAGAAATGTTAGCTATAGCAATAAGAGAAAAAAAAGAAAGTAAAGGAATTAGAATAGGCAATGAGGAAACAAAACAATTAATCTTTGCAGATGATATGATGTTATACTTAGAAAATCCTCAAGAATCAACTAAAACTACTTGAAATTATTAACAACTTCAGCAAAGTTGCAGGATATGAAATAAACCCACATAAATCATCAGCATTTCTACACATTACCAACAAAGTCCAGCAGCAAGAGATAGAAAGAAATTCCATTTAAAATAACTGTAGACCATATAAAATACTTGGGAGTCTATCTGCCAAGACAAACTTGGGAAGTATATGAACACAACTATAAAACACTTTTCACACAAATAAAGTCAGATCTAAACAATTGGAAAAATATTAATTGCTCATGGGTAGGCTGAGCCAATATAATAAAAATGACAATTCTATCTAAATTCATCTACTTATTCAGTGCCATGCCAATCCAACTAACAAAAAATTATTTTATGGAGCTACAAAGAGTAATAATAAAATTCATCTGGAAGAACAAAAGCTCAAGGATGTCAAGAGAATCAATGAAAAATAAATGGGAAAGAAGGTGGTCTAGCTTTACATATCATTTCTCAAACTATATTATAAAGTGGTAATTGTCAAAACAATCTGGTACTGGCTAAGAAACAGAGTGGTGGATCAGTGGAAAAGATTAGGTACAAACTACATTATAATAAATGAACACAGTAATCTAGTATATGATAAACCCAAAGATCTAAGCTTTTGGAACACAAATTCATTATTTGCAAAAAACTGGTGGGAAAACTGGAAAACAGTATGGCAGAAACTAATTATAGACCAATATCTCCACAATATACCAAGATAAGATCAAAATAGGTACATGATTTACACATAAAGGGTAACACCATAAACAAAATTAAAAGAGTGTGGAATAGTTTATCTGTCAGATTTATGGATAAAGGAAGAATTTAGGACCAAAGAAGAAATAGAGAGCATTAAAAAATATAAAATAGATAATTTTCATTATATAAAATTAAAAAGGTTTTGCACAAACAAAAACCAATGCAACCATAATTATAAGGAAAGCAGAAAATGGAGGGGGCAAATTTTTGCAACAAGTATCTCTGATAAAAGCCTCATTTCTCAAATATAGAGAACTGAGCCAAATTTATAAAAATACAATTCCCCAAATGATAACTGGTCAAAGGACATGAACAGGCAGTTTTCAGACAAAGAAACCAAAGCTATCTATAGTCGTTTGAAAAACATACTCTAAATCGCTATTGATCAGAGATGTATGTCTCAGAATAATGTTCTTAAATGCATAAAATAAAACACATAGGGCTATGAAGGAAACCAATCATACTAAAATAGTTAATAAAATACTAAAAAAAAATTTGGACCCTAGGTTAAGATCCTTCAATAAAGGAGAATGATGAGTAGTTCAGTTTGGCTGGGACATAGAGCAAGTGATGGAGAGCTCTGGAGGCTAGAGCAGGAGGCTGGACCCAGACTGCAAAAGGCCAAGGTCAAGCTAAGGGGTTCATATTTTATTCAGTAGGGGATGGAGAAGCATTGTGCAGGGAAGAAGCGTAATCAGAGCAATGCATTAGGAATCCGCTCCTCTGGGCATCCCAACTGAGGAGAGAGCCTGGAGGCAGGGACACCAGTTGAGAGGCTATTTATACTGCGAGATTGGCATAAGAAATTAATTGGGAATTTTGGGAAGTTTTGCGGAAGCTGCAGAGGACACTTGAAGGCCCACAGATGGCATACAGCCTATCAACAAATACTTAACTCAAAATTTACAATCAGGTACTGTAAATACCTCATAAAAGAAAAAGATCAAATTCTGACTTTTCCTCTAAAATAGAGGGAAGGCCAAAAAACTTTATGCAGATTTTGCAGATTGAAGGGGTGCCGCACCCCTAACACTCACAATGTTGAAGGGATAATTGTACTATGATCCAGGAAAGAGGTAGTAAGAGACAAAACGAGGGTGGTAGCAGTGATAATAGAAGTTATGTGGATGAGAGAGATTTTCCGACATAGAACTGACAGGATTGGGCATCTGATTGGATGTGAGGGAGAGGGGAGAGAAGAAAAAAAAAACCCTTCCCTCCTGAACCCCCTCCCCCTGCCTGCTGTCTGTTTCCCGCTTTACCTGCTTCTTTTGAGGGACACGTTGCTCTGTCTGGAGTCGTTTTAGCTCGTCCTTTCTCAGCTGCAGCCTCTTCTGTTCTTCCTTCAGGAAGCAGAGCTCCTGCTCAAGAAGAGAAGGGCAGAGAGGTGATGATGAATTAACGACTTGCCTTTCCAAAGAATGTACCTACCCCAGGAAAAGGTTCCCCATTCTGGAAAGTCCCACTTCACTCTCCTGCCCATCACTGGGACTCACCTGAAGCTTCTGTCTCCACCACGGAGTGTCCTCCTGAGGTCTTCGTGTCTCTGCTCCCAAAGCAGCCTCAGACAGCAGCTGATCCTTGTCAATCAATCAACAAGCAGCTATTGAGTGCCTACTGTCCACCAAACACCCCATAAGGCACTCTGTAGGATTTAGACACTATATACATGGTCCCTCAAGCAGTTTACAAGCTGGTGGTTTCATTTTGTGGCAAGATATGCACACAAAGCATCATAGTCAGAGGTAGAAGGGACCATGGAGGCAGTGTGCATAGTTGATAGATCACTGAACTTGGACTTCGGAAGACCTGGGTTCAAATCCTGCCTGTAACCCTGGATATGTCACTTAATCTGAGTCTCAGTTTCCTTATCTGCAAAATGAGGTGATCGGACTAGATGCCTCATAAGGTCTCTTTTAGCATTCAATCTATGAGCCTATGATCTAATCATCACCTCTTCATTTTACAAATTAAGAAAATGAGGACCAAAGACGTTGAATGACTTACCTGTTACATAAGTAGTTAAGTGGAAAGTGTTGGTTGAATTGGTCCAACTATTTCGGTAATCAATTTGGAACTATGTGCAAAAATTTCTGTAAACTGTTCACGCCCTGTACCTGTAAATACCACTACCACGTCTATGCCCAAAGGAGATGAAAGAAGGAAAAGAACTTATATGTGTCAAATATTTACAGCAGCTTTTTTTGAAGTGACATAGAATCGGAAACTAAAGGGGTGCCCATCATCGATTGGGGACTGGTTGAACAAATTATGGTATACTCTCGTACCGAAGTGAAACAGGGATGGTTTCAGAGAAACCTGGCAACACTTATGCTATGACTGATGCAGAGCGATGTGAGCAGAAACGGGAGAGCAATGTACATAATAATAATAATATCAGAAAGACAAATAACTTTAAAAGACTTACGTCTGATTAGTGCAATGACCAACCACAATTATAGAGGTCTAATGATGAAAAAGGCTACTCATCTCCTAACAGAGAGACACATGGCCTTAATATACACAATGGAACATACATCTTTGGTTGCAGATGTGGGAATTTGTTTTGCATGATTATGCATATTTATTATAAAGGTTTTGTTTTTTCTTTAACATCAGGTGATGGGGAGCAGGGAGGGAGAAGGAGGGAAAACAAATGATTGTTAATCGAAAATTTAAAAAAAAACTAGCCTTAGGAAAGAACACCCAAGACAGGAGAAAAGATCAATATGCAGACAGATTGTATTGAATTGAGAGTGAGGATTGATGTTTATCTTTGTCATTAGACTTTTTTTGGAGGGGATAGAGGGGAGCCCAGGGAGAAGGTGAGGATAAGGGAGACACCTTCAGACCCTAAGTATGGGAGTGTTATTTGAGAGAGTATGGGAGGTGATTTTGTGTGTGGGTGAGGTCCTAGGGGCAAACTCCAAGGGCTCAGTCTGTTTCTCCTATCTTTTGCAAGGAAGCCAAAGGGGTAAAAATAAGCAGCCTGATTTCTGATCCCAACCCCAGCATGATCCCTCTCCATTCTCTCAATCTGTAATCCCAATAGCCAGGAAGGGTGTCACTCCGACGACCATCACCACACCCAGCCAGCACTTACCTCATTACATTTCTCATCCATGAGGTTCTTCTTCTCTTGTGCAACGCAAAGGCTCAGGGTGCCAGGTGGAGGTGAGGATTTGGGGTGGAGGAATGGAGCTGAGGGTGGACTATGTAGGATAAATCCCTCTGTCTCAACACTTCAGAAAGGCGATCTGCAAGATCCCCAACCTCTCTCCTAATCAGTACTTCCACTTTCATTTCTTATAAAGACCCACCCCTTTGGTGACCACACCTCCCTTGTGTCTGGTTTCCTTACCCCTCACTGGAGCCTGCCCAGCAATAAGAAGAACCAAACTTCACCACCCCCAGTCAACTCGAAGCTAGGACTGTCTCCCCATCTCCAGCTAGGAGTTGAACAGTAGGGAAGACCCTGCCTCCCAGGAGAGCCTCATACACTGGAATCTCAACCCCTTTTCCCACCATTAGAACTTCACGTGATCTCAGGGTTCCACTCAATTCAACAAGAACAGGAAGCACCTATTAGGCAGTCAGTCAACAGCATTTATTAAGTGCTTACTGTGTGCCAGGCACTGTGCTAAGTACCTAGGCTATAAAAAGTGGCAAAAACAGTCTGTGCCTGAAGTCACATTCTAATGGGGAAGACAAGATCCCTCTTAATTCTGGCACCTTCCTTCTGTTGATTATTTCCAATTTATCCTGTATATGTATTATTTGAATGTAGTTGTTCACATGCTTTCTCCTCCATTAGAATGTGAGCTCTCTGAGGGCAGGCACTAGGGGCTGTCTTTTCCCATTCTGCTCCCAGCACTTAGCCCAGAGATGGCACATAAACGTGGACTTATTACTGGATTATGTACAAACAATAATGGTAGCTAACATTGATATAATGATTTAAAGCTTTTTTTTGCATCTGTTTCCTTTTATTGAAAAAAAAATTCATTTAGAAAATGGCAGTTAATAAAAGGATATAGGACAGAAGTTAAGAAATACGTGGGAAGGGGATAGCAGCGGGGGGGGGAAGCCATGGAGGACATAAAGAACACTAAAAATGCCATTAATGGATTTGATTGATTCAGAGCACAAACCCTGAGATCCAGAAGAAGGATCTCTCCTTCCCTGGTCTGCTTTTAGCAAATTAAATCGATGGATATTGGGCATTACTACTTTTTAAAATCACTCTCCCCCCCCCCCCCCGCTTCAGTCCAGTAAATACAAAACTAAAGAAAACTAGGTCTGTGACTGGAAGTTGTTGTACCCCAAAGGTTTTGTTCTAAATCACTTAAGGAGGCAGGGCCTGAGATTTAAAAAACACATATACACATACACACACATATTTTTATATACACACACACACACACACACACACACACATAAATGCATGTGTACAAACACATATATCTACAAATATATGCACACATATACACATATATATGCATAGGTACATATCCATACATATACACACATGTATAAATGCCTACATATATGCACATGTACAAATCCACACAAATCCACAAATTCATGCACATGGGTATATACATGACATATACACATAAACGTATGCATAGGTACATATCCATACACATACACACATCTATATGTAAATAATGAGTACAACAAAGTTGGCATCTTAGGTAACAGGTTAAAACATTCAAAAGGGGTGGGAGTGACAAGAAACTTCTATGTGGTAAAAGCATGGCCAGGCAGAGCTTCCAGCAAAAACTCCTTCCAAACGTTCTTGATACATCAAGAGTTTTTTAATCCAATCAGTCACAAAGGTCTGAGAGCAACCCCAATGGCAAGTTGGGGCGAGGCAGCTGACCTCAGCTTCATTAGCTCCCAACAACTAGTTCCACTCTAGGAAGTCCTATTGATCCAGAAGGGAACAGAATTTCATGACAAAACATGAGATGTTTTAAACATTCTTTATTTTACTCTCATCTGTTTTAGTTTCTGTCTTGTGAGATATTTGCTTCTATTTTGGTTTTTGTTTGTTTTGTTTATATATGTGGTGGGACAGCTAGGTGTCGCAGTGGATAAAGCATCAGGCCTGAAATCAAGAAGACTCATCTTCCTGAGTTCAAATCTAGCCTCAGACACATAGACTAGCTGTGTGACCCTGGGCAAGTCACTTAACCCCATTTGCCTCAGTTTCCTCATCTGTAAAATGAGCTGTGGAAAGAAATGGCAAACCGATTCAGTACCCACCTTCGCCAAGAGAACCCCAAACAGGATCATGAAGAGCTGGACGCAACTGAACTTTGGTGTTAGGTCATAAAAAATTAGGAAGCAGAAATTGCCTCAAGTCAATGAGAAGTTTATTGATTATCACATACAGTGGCCAGAATGCATACATGTAGGCTGAAGACGTACATGCAGAGGCTACAAAATTCCCCTAAATCACCCCAACTTTGAAACCCTTCATCAAACAACTCTGGTTTCTTTTTCCCAAACATTGTTCTCCTGCTGACATAATATTGACGCAAATCCTTTTTCTTATCCTGAAGACATTCTTGTTTTCAAGAATGTCCAGCGATCACCTGTAAAAACAACCCTGCTGTTTATCAGTAACTCAGTTGCCTCCTTTTTCTGTTTTGCAAACTTGTGGGTCAGCATGAATTTGTTTCCCTTGTTAAAGTATTCTGTTATACTCATACACAAAAATTTAACCCTTTAGTGGTTAGCATGATCTCAGCAGAAAAAAGAGGCTGCTCCTGGAAGGGTTATTTCCTTTTCCTTTCTGTGGGGAAGCTGTTGTGGAGCTTAGAGATCCCAGACTTGTAGGTTTCCATGACCAGCAAACCCCATTGTTGTCAAAAAACTTGGCAATGGACTCAGTGAACTCTACTTCCTTCTTTTGTTGTTGCTTTTCAGTCGTGTTTGGCTCTTTGTGACCCTATTTGGGATTTTCTTAGCAAAGATGCAGATAGAGTACTAATCAGCTAGCTCAAAGAGAAAGCTCTAACAGATCTCAAAAGCTGGAAGTTCTATTAGGAGATATAATTACATTAAAAAATATTTAATTTGATTAGGGCACAAAGGAGGTATAAAAGAAAGGTAGTATTTTGATGGGAGAGATCCCTTCCAAATTGGGGTGGGGCACAGGAATGTTAGGTGGGGCTGCGGAAGGCATATTAAGGATCTAAGGAATGGGGTAAAAAACACTGGCAAGAGGAGAGGTCCAACAATGTTTGGCACATACATAGTAGGCACTTAGTGTTTGACTGAATAAAAGCGCTGTACTCGTCCAGGAGCAATTAAGTTTGAGGCAGACACCTAGGATGTTATACAGAGAACAGTACAAATTTAGAAAGGCAAAAAGGGCCAGATTGTAGAAGGCCTAGAACATCAATTTATTCATTCACTCATCAATTTATTTTGTTTCCATCTGATTATTATTATTATTTTTAAATATGAGGCAATTGGGGTTATGTGACCTGTCCAGGGTCACACAGCTAGTGAGTGTTACATCTAAGGCCAAATTTGAACTCAGGTCCTCCTGACTCCGGGGCCAGTGCACTATCCACTGAGCCACCTAGCTGCCCCTATTTAATTATTTTTAATAGACTTTATTGATATCTTTTGTTTTTATGTCAACTAGAATTACCCTTACCTCTCCCCATAGCCCTCCCAGAGAGCTATCTCTCATAACAAAGAATTCAAAAAACAAAGAAGAACAGCTGTATGACCCTGGGCAGGTCACTTAACCCTATTGCCTCCCCAAACCAAACTAAACCAAACCCAAAACAAAGAAGAGGTAAAAGGAAAAACTCTTCCAAATCAATGGATATATATATAATAAAAAAAAAACCTGACATTTTTATGTTTTATCTATTCCACACCCTTGGATAACCCTCTTTTCACCACCACAAAGTACTGGGAAGGTCTCTTTGTAGCTCTTCTTGGGGCCAAACTTCATCTTTATAATTTTGAAATCAGTTCAAGTAGTATGGACTTTATTCTGTACAGAAGAGACCCTGCTGGTTTCTAAGCAGAGGAATGTTTTGCATGAGAAATATGATTTTCTATTCTTCACCTTTACCTTGACCTGCAATCTCTCCACTCAGTATTTTGCTAGGCCATCACCCCTGCTGTGGCTATGTATGCTCGCCTACCTTCTCATTTTCAACTTCTTGGTGAACCAGTTCGGGCCTACACTATCCCTCCATCTAGAGGCCCTTGCCCTATCACCACTCATGCCTTGCCAAAACCAATATTATTCCCACCATGTACTTCCTCTGCTCCTAACTCACATGTTGCTGATGGATGAAATTGTTACCTGGATTTATATTGCATTGGTCTAAGCAATTCCCTAATTGGTTTAAGCCAGGAATTTCCTTCAACCAGCTGATACCTTCCCTGAAACTTTGAGACCTGTTAAGGACCTTGGCCTTTTTAAGCCAAGGTCTCCCCCTGCATCCGGGGCCATCTCCAGTCATGCTGATCTATATCTCGCCCCTGGACCCAGATGGCTCCCTCACTTAAATTAAATTCACTTGCATGTCATGGCATCACCTTCCTGATGTCATGGTCCTCTTTGAGAATGAAGGACAACAGGCAGCTAGGTAGCCCAGTGGACAGAGTACTGGCCCCAGAGTCAGGAGGACCTGAGTTCAAATGGCTTCAGGCACATAATACTCACTAGTTGTGTGACTCTGGGCAAGTCACTTAACCCCAACTGCCTCACCAAAAAAAAAAAAAATAAGAGAATGAAGGACAAACAACATCAAGAGTTTCCCAGAGAATTGAGAAGTTAAGTGACTTGAGTTAGGGTCACATAACCAATAAGCATTTGAGGCAGGGCTTGAACCCAGGTCTTCCTGGACTCCTGGCTCTTTATCCCTAAGGCCAGGCTGTATAGATTCTCTTGCTGACTGGATTTTGCACAAATTCATTAACTGACAGCAATTGGAATCTCACTGCAGCAAGGCAATCCTTTTACACCTACTTAATTTTCTATTTTATCCTCCACAATGGCGGTTCCAAACCATTCCTCTCAAAACCTCCCACAATCCTTTCAATTGAGGGCCTTGCTTCATCCTTTACAGAGAAACTGAGGCTATTCACCAAAAGTTCTTTTCCCCACCTTATCTCACAATCCCCTGGACATTATTCCTCAACACTTCCTCCTTTAATCCAGTTGCTGATGAAGAGCCGGTCCTTCTTACACCCAGGGGAACCCTGATCATCTATATTCCCTTTCATCTCCTACAGACTGCTTTCATTTCCTCTATCCCACACATAA